CACGAATTCCGCTTATTTGAGGAGGTACGGGGGCCGACCGACCGCGCGCAGCACCACATTCGACTTAGCGATCCCCGACCCATCAAACAAAGATATCGGCCACGCAACCCCGCGATGCAACGCGTAATCGACGAGGAAGTCGAGAAGATGCTGCGGGACAAGGTGATCGAACCGTCCCGCAGCGCGTGGAGTTCACCGATGGTCGTTGTGCGCAAGAAAGACGGGTCGCGAAGATTTTGTGTCGACTTCCGGAAACTGAACAGCGTGTCCGAACCCGATGCCTATCCGCTGCCGCAGGTCACGGCCACGCTCGACAAACTCCGCGGAGCGCGGTATTTGTCTACATTAAACCTGCGGAGCGGATATTGGCAAGTCCCCCTAACACCCGAGAGCCGCCCATTGACAGCATTCGCCGTGCCGGGAAGGGGATTGATGCAATTTCGGGTGATGCCCTTCGGTCTGCATTCCGCTCCAGCGACATTCCAACGGCTGCTGGACGACGTACTCGGCCTCGAACTCGAGCCCCACGTACTGGTGTATCTGGACGACATTATTATCGCTAGTCGAACCTTTGAGGAACATCTCGCGCGCCTCGCCCAAGTTTTCCGGCGACTGCAAGCGGCCCGCTTACGCCTGAACACGCGAGAAATGCAGATTCTGCGTAGGTCGGTTACGGTACTTGGGGCACATCGTGGACAAGGAGGGCATCCGGACCGATCCGGAAAAGATCAGCGCAATCACCGACTGGCCGACGCCCACCACGGTACGAAAAGTACGACAGTTCCTCGGGCTCGCGTCATGGTACCGACGATTTATACCGGACTTCTCCGCGTTCGCCGCTCCCCTGACCAGACTGACCCGGAAGGAGGTGACCTGGCGATGAGGCGCGGAGGAAGACGCCGCGATGCACGCGTTGAAAATGCGGCTGACCACCGCCCCCGTGCTCGCGTGCCCCCACTTCGAGGAGCCTTTCCAACTGCAGACCGACGCGAGCACGGAGGGACTGGGCGCCGTCCTAACACAGCGGTTGGACGGCGCCGAAAGGGTTATCGCGTACGCGAGCCGCACGTTGAGCCGCGCCGAGAGAAACTATAGCGCGACCGAGCTCGAGTGCCTCGCCGTCGTGTGGGGGATCCGACGGAGCGCGACTATTTGGAGGGCTACCGTTTCACGGTAATCACGGATCACCAGGCCCTCCGGTGGCTGTGCAGTTTGGAAACCCCCATCGGGCGACTAGCCCGCTGGGCCCTCGAGCTTCAGCAATACGAGTTCGAGGTCCAGTATCGGCGGGGCGCCCTGAATACGGTCGCGGACGCATTATCGCGGCGACCGGAGGTGGGCGCAGTATCGACGGGAACGAGCTGCCCCTGGTACCGACGCATGAAAGATCGCGTAACTACGGACCCTGCCGCGTGGCCAGACTACGTCGTTCGGCAGGGCCAGCTCCTCCGCCACATGCTGCACGACCTCGACTTCCGCGAGGTACCCGAGGAGGAGCAGTGGAAGATCTGCGTGCCCCGGGAGCAGCGAGCGAGCGTGCTCCGCCAGCTTCACGACGAACCGACCGCCGGCCACTTAGGGGTGGCGAAGGCGATCGCCCGCGCGGCCCGCCGGTACTACTGGCCCGGCATGTTTCGGGACGTAGCACGGCATGTCCGGGCCTGCGAGACGTGCCTCGCATATAAGGCCACGCAGATCAAACCGGCGGGCCTTATGCACGCCACCGCGGTAAAGGGCCCATGGGACCAACAGGCCACCGTGGACCTGGTGGGCCCTCTGCCGCGGTCAGCCGGCGGACACGCGTGGGTAATAACGATGCAGGATCGTTTCTCCAAGTGGCTGGAGATGCGCCCGCTCCGGAAAGCGACAACTAAAGCCGTGGAACGAGCAATAACTGAGGGCATCATCCACCGACACGGCTGCCCTCACGCGATTGTGTCCGACAACGGAAAGCAATTTCGGTCCGCGAAATTCGCTAAACTTTGCGGGGCCTTCGGGATTCGTCATCGCACCACGCCCGTGTACGCGCTGCATTGCAATCCGGTGGAGCGGACGAACCGCGTGGTGAAGACTATGATCGCACAGTATGTGGGGAAGAACCACCGGAAGTGGGACGCATACCTAACCGCCCTACAGTTTGCATACAACTCGGCCGTCCAGGACTCGACGGGGTACAGCCCGGCCTTTTTGCTACAAGGACGGGAGTTGAGTCTATGGTTGGAAACCCGCACCGCCGCTCTACCGGAAAAACGCCGCCGACAGCTCGAGGAGGCATACGAGGTCGTCCGCATTAATTTGGCGCGAACTTTCCAACGCCAGGAGCGCTATTATAATCTGCGACGGCGCTCCTGGCGGCCTACGATAGGGGAGACAGTATGGCGACGCGAGCATCCCCTGTCGGATAAAGCGCGAGGCTTCAACGCTAAGCTCGCGCCGAAATACTCCAGGCCGTACGAAGTCCGGAAGATAATCTCGCCGGTAATCGTCGATCTCTGCGCTAAAAACGGCAAGTGGCTACGAAATATACACGTACAAGATTTGAAGTCATGCAGCAACAACAACGAAGAGCCACAGGACGCGGAGGTCGACGACCCGGAAGGGGAAACCGAAACAACGGCCCGGAGTATAAAGCGACGGCCTCGAGCAGCAAAGCCCACATCTTCTCGAGTTGTCGCCCCGCGATAAGCGAGAAGTTTTGGCAAGCGCAAACGCAAGCACAATAGCTAGCAATGAGCGAGCCCCGAGGAAAAGAGATCGAGGATCTCACCGTCCTCTGGACGGATCTCGCCCTCTCCGACGACGAGGAGAGGGCCCCGGCCGCCCCGCCGACGTCACCGCCAACGTCACTGACGACGTCACCGCCGCCACCATCAGCGAGCCCACCGCCGCCGTCGGCAAGGCCGCCGAACCCCCAAGTGCCAGCGAGGGGGACAAGGATTCAGCGGTCGGACACGACACAGCGTCGAAAAACGCTGATGTTGCTAACGGCTCCGCTGCCCCCACCACCCGGGGGCCGAGGACGCCAGCCAAAGTCACTGGCAGCAACTACAAGGGCTACCACCCGCCCCACACGGCCGCCGACGACTCCGCCGCCGCAACGACCGCCGCCGCAGCAACGGCCACCGCCGCAGCGGCCGCCACCACCGCCACAATGGCCGCCACCACCGCCGCAACGGACGCCGCCGCCGCCACAACGAGTAGCAGGGACGCCTCTCCTCCCGACGACGCGACCACCCTCGGGTCCGACACCCGTCCGACCGCCGAAGATACTCCGACCGGTCGGCCTGAGGCCACCGCCGCCGGTCCTCGTCGAAGTGGAGCCCGGCGTCCACAAGCTCGTCCCCCACGCGGCCGTCCACATCAGCCGTCGCTATCGCCTCCGGACACCTGAGGGGCGCTGGATGCTGCGTTTCCACGCAGACGGGCAACTCCGGTCTAGCCACCGCCTGCCGGACGACCACTCTGCCAGGGGGGTGATGTAACGAGGCGCAGATGCACCTCGTTACTACCGGCCCAACCGACCACCTGTCGGGCCGAAGAACGGCGCTTTGCGCCACCCTAAGCTACCGAAACGATCGCGCCGCCGCTATCTCGCGCCGCCGCTATCGCGCGCCGCGGCGATCACGCGCGCCGCGGCGATCACGCGCCGTCACCATGCCTCGCGCCGATAGGCGCGCCTAGTTCGGCCGTTACAATAGAACTGAGTTCGGCCGTTACAATAGAAATGTATGTCAACGTCATAGACAAGATAAGTGCATACGTATCAGCGACGGAGAAATATCTTTGTGACTGCAGAGTGATTTGTAGAGCAAATAAAGTAAGTAAAAATAGTAATAGTAAAAATAAAGTACAAATAAAAGTAAAAATATATATATATGTATATATAACTATGTGATTTTCAAAGTATTCATCTAATCGCTTTGTAAATTAAAATTCTTTTGCAGAGAGATGGATCCTCTTGCGGAACAGCTGAAAGATATAGAAAACATGGATTCTACGGAATTATTAAGCCCTAACGATGTTTTCGATGAGGTGAAGATATACGACTCAACCGTGTATGTACTTTTTTCTATCGATAGTTTTGCATTATTTATTCATTTTGTGGTTATCATATATTATCAATGTAAATAATGTATGTATGAAGTTTCAGAAATATTAGTGCACGTTGTCAATTGTAACTATTAGTAATAGAAGACTCATATTTGAATATCTTTTTCAGATTAGCGATGACTGATTAATCTCTGAGACCTAAGCCCAGAAAACAACGAGGTCTTGTAGATGTCTAAAAGATATCTTATGAAAGATTTCTTTAAGATATTTCTAAAAGATATCTACAAGTTGTCTATAAGATATCTAAATAGATGTAGTGGAAGATATCTTTGTAGAATTTATAAAAGATATCTATAGACATCTGAAAGATATCTTAAAAGATATCTTCAATATATTTGTAATAGATATCTAAATGATATCTTTTAGAAGATATCTTTAAGAGCCGATTGTTTCAACTTCTTGGTAAGTTAAATAATAGTTTAATCATAATTTGTCTGTCTAATTTAAGGAAGGAATTAAAATAGACAAATTAACTAATTACTTTAAACTTGGAACAACCGGCCCTAAGGCCGGTATTCTATAAGAAATTGTTCTCCTATGGGATATATCGTATCATCCGATCTCGTGTGAATCTTCAATTATATTTAAGACATTCTGAAGTTCATCTTGGCTGCATTCCCTAATTCACGGCCAATACTGAAAATCTGTAGTTCATGTAACGTAGAACAATATAGAATTTCAGTGCTGTCAGTGAATTACAGAACGCAATCCTTGAGATACTTCGTAGCCAATAAAATAATCCGTGCAACATAACAACAAACAACAGACAAATAACAACAAAGAACAGCCCAGATAGCAAAATGTGCGCAAACATATCTTTTAGACTTCTAAAAGATGTCTAAAAGACGTCCTACTTCTTTTAGAAGTCTTTAAACATCTTTGTAGACATTGTGTTATCTGGGAGGTAAACAAAAACAGATCGATTGCGTATCTTGAAACGTGGTGAATTCTAGTAAATTCACTTACTTTTGTCATTCACTTGTTTCAATACACGCAATCGACTCTCAGACCTCGTGACTTCCTACCGAAAAGAAACCGTGCGGTTCAAGGATCCGATATTTATCAAAGGTAATCCTCGAAATCCTTCAAATTTACAATTGTATCTGTCTTTATACTTAAATCCTTTTGCCATTCAATGTTTAATATTTTCTGTGCGATTTGTATAACTAAGAATATTTTAATATAATTTACTCTATCCTAACCTTATGTTTTGCTAGAAAATTAATGTTAGTAATAAATGTGCTACATTTTGTACTTCAATGAACATTAGGATTTTAATCAATCACATTTTATATTTAGGTTTACAACGGAATTGACACAATATTCGGACTGTACCAGTAGTACTTGGTTGTTGTCCTCCGTCTTCACACAATTATCGCCATAGAAATTATCTAATTTAATGAATTACTTGCTGATAAACTCCTTGATAAGGTATTCAAGTAATGATTATGATTCTTTGAAAAATTGAAAATTAGAAATAACATAACAAGCAAATAACCAAATCTGTGCGAGCAATCTATTAGCAGTATTTGTGACACAATCCTCCATTACATTTAAGACCTTCTGAAGTTTATCTTGGCTACATTCCCTAATTCACTGCCAGTACTGAAAATCTATAGTTCATGTAACGTATACTATAGCATTTCAGTGCTGTCAGTGAATTACAGAACGCAGAGACACTTCGTAGCCAATGAAATAATCCGTGCAACATCTGATTAGATAGTTCAGCAGTGCAATTCCAAACAACAGACCTCATGACTTCCCACCGAAAAGAAACGTGCGGTTCAAGGATCCGATATTTATCAAAGGTAATCCTTCGAAATCCTTCAAATTTACAATTGTATCTGTCTTTATACTTAAATCCTTTTGCCATTCAATGTTTAATATTTTCTGTGCGATTTGTATAACTAAGAATATTTTAATATAATTTACTCTATCCTAACCTTATGTTTTGCTGGAAAATTATAATGTTAGTAATAAATGTGCTACATCTTGTACTTCAATGAACAGGATTTTAATCAATCACATTTTATGTTTAGGTTTACAACGGAATTGACACAATATTCGGACTGTACCAGTAGTACTTGGTTGTTGTCCTCCGTCTTCACACAATTATCGCCATAGAAATTATCTAATTTATGAATTACTTGCTGGTAAACTCCTCGATAAGGTATGTTCAAGTAATGATTACGATTCTTTGAAAAATTGAAAACTAGAAATAATATAATAAGCAAATAACCAAACCTATGCGAGCAATCTCTTAGCAGCATTTGTAACACAAAGGCAATAGATTGCACACAGTATGTATTAATTAGATTTTTATGGCAGATTCGTGGTATATTGCGTGCAGAGCCTGCTAATAGACGTTAGCAAGATCTGCATTCTGCCATCAAGCTGCTGTCAGAGCTGTCATAGATTGTGTTAGCATACTCTGCCGGCAGTCTAACAGCAGATTGTGGACATAGATGTCTGTGGATCTGTCGCCAATCTGACGTCAGTATGTGCACTGATTGTTTCAGATTTGAGGGTTTCATGGTCGGTGAATTTCTTCATTGTAATAGTTTCCGGTTGAGTACCGCGTCCTGAAACAGTTTTATGTCGACGTTTCGCTAACATTGCAGTTTGCATCTTCAAGGCTGAGAGTCCTGATATTGAATTTTCCTCTTTCGTGAGTGTGCTTAGGTATCCCTTTCCTTGTGTTGAAGAAAGAAGAGGAGAGAATAATTAATATCAAAGCTCTCAGCTCTTAAGATGCAAACTGCAACGTTTCTGAAACGTCGATATAAAGCTATTCCAGGACGCAGTACTCATCTGGACGCTACTACAAAGAAGAAATAGGACATGATGTTTCTTTTTTAATCTACACGAAATATCTTTGTAATAAAATCATTGATATTCATTCAAAGAAAATTAAAAAATATAATAGTTTAAAAGATATTTCATACTCTGGCATAATTAATATAATAATATTAAATATTAAATATCTGGAATAATTTCACTTTTTCATATATTCGATATTCAATTTTCGTATTTTTATATGTGGAAGAACTACATATTATTTATTAAATATTTTGCCTTTATATCATGAAATTTTCATCATTTGTATGTAGGATTCAAACGACATATAATAAAAAAATTAATAATGCCGAAAAGAAAAAGATATAACGATTTGAGTCGGTCTCAACAATGGCGTCGGCGACAAAATATTGATTGTGCAGTACATACTATTGATACAGGCGATACATATAATATTAATTTAGACATTGAGATTCCTCATGAAATGTCTAATGACAATATTCTTATTGAAGAGAATAGTAACAATTATTTGAATAATAATAATATATATATGTATGGAGATGTCGAAGAATGCAATCAAAGAATTGATTCTTATTCAAATTGTAGTTATTCAGAATCTGATATGGAATTGATTGCCGAATGCAATAATCAATGTTATAAAGATTTGAGTTTTAATGTACAGAAAGAACTTGCATTATACAAATTTCTTTGGACATGGAGTCTTGAGTATAATATTACTCATGTGGCTCTAACAAAATTGCTTCAAGGTCTCAAAATCAATGGATATGAAAAGCTTCCTTGTAATGCGAGAACTTTATTGGGAACTTCGAGAACAACATCAATAATTAAGAATCATTCTGGTACTTTTTATTATCATGGATTGCAGACAGCATTGAAGAATCATTTACGATATAATAAACCTCTCCATGAACGTTGTGAAAATGAAATTAAAATCAACTTAAGCATTGACGGACTACCATTGGCAAAGAGTTCTAAATCGCAATTTTGGCCACTTTTAGGGCAAATTGTCCACGTTCATTATAAAGAAAAACCTTTTGTTATTGGAGTATTCCACGGATATTGTAAGCCGAAGAAACCAAATGAGATTATTCATCAATTTATTGAAGAATATAGTGAAATTCAAAATAAAGGATTCCAATATCGAGGAAAAAAATACAAAGTTTTAATAAATGCTATAATATGCGACGCCCCGGCAAAAGCATTCATGAAATGTATTAAAAGTCATACAGGATATTATGGATGCGATAAATGTGAAGAGGAAGGTAAATGGAGGAACAATCGAATGTTATTCCTTAATGAAAATGCTCCATTACGCACAGATGCAAAATTTTTATTACGACATAATGAAGATCATCATGTGGATAATTCACTTTTTGAAAACATTGGATTGAAAATGGTAACACAGTTCCCATTAGATTATATGCATCTTGTTTGTCTCGGTGTCATGAAAAGACTTATAAGTATGTGGATCCGAGGAATAAAGGGCATTAAACTGCGTGCTTCTCAAATTGATCAATTATCTATAGATTTAGAGCAGTTAATAACATACATACCTAGAGAATTTTCTAGGAAACTAAGAGGTTTAGATGAATTAGATCGCTGGAAAGCGACAGAATTTAGACTGTTTCTCTTATATACTAGTCTATCAATTTTATGGTCATATTTGCCAAATGATTATTTGAGACATTTTTATGTTCTACATTGTGCAATTTATATTCTTTGTAATCCTGCCGATTGCGAATACAATAACGAATATGCACATGAATTATTAGTACATTTTGTACAAACATTTAAAATGTTATATTCTGAGAACTACGTTACATACAATGTACATAACTTGGTTCATTTACATGTTGATGTTAAGAATCATGGGTGTCTGGACATGTTCAGTGCTTTTCCATTCGAAAATTATTTTCAAGAAATGAAACGAATGCTACGAAAAAATGCACAACCGTTACAACAATTGCACAGACGATTAATGGAAAAATGTCAAACTGTAAGAAATATTGGGTATAAACCTGAAGAATATCCCATTCTTCAAAATGCCAAGAACGAAGAATTATTGTTTGGATGTACACAATCTCATAAAGAAATAATATTTGAAAAATTTACACTATCCTGCATCAAAGAAGCCGATTCTTATTGTTATATGAATAACAGAAATGTTCTCATGATTGAATATATTGGAAAAAAGAATGGAGAAACAGTAATACTTGGAAAAAAGTTAAAAAATTTCGATAATATATCTTCATATCCATGTGATTCGCGAAATTTGAAAATCTATGTCGGAAATGAATGGTCTGAAATTGGAATGTATCCAATAAGTCAAATAAGCGCAAAAGCAATGCGACTTCCTTACAAAGATACATTTTGTATAATTCCTATTCTACATACTAATGATTGAAGTGAGTTGTTATTTTTTATAAAAACAACTGTAATAATTTATAAATAAAACTAGTAATTTATAAATTGTATTATATCATACATAAATATATTATATTATACAAGTAATATTGTTTAATCCAATTTGTAATTATGACAGATATTTATATAAATAATAAGTTTTATATATATAAATATTTTTTAACAATAAATTATGACAAGTTTGAACCATAATTTGGATGCTTTAGGATAGAAAATCATAATAATTATGAGTGAAATTATTTTCATTTATTCTCTTAAATACTTCATCATTACTTAATCAGTATTTATTGTTACAGATGTATTACATCGTATTTTGGGACGAATACTGCCAAGTCGTTCCCGATTCTTGGGTAAACTTTAATGCAAAAACATTTACGTTTCCATTGTCTAAAAAAAATATTACCAATACAATAAAAAAGAAGATAAGTCCTGGAAATGATTGGAACATCAGTCATTTTCATAAAATTTTAGGACCTTACAATACATTTGATAAGGCTCGGGAAGCAGAAAAATCTTGTATTGATATATCCACTTCGGATGATATTCAATTTGCTTCTTTAAATGAACCAATCCAAACATTGCCTCTGAAACGTTTGATAACGAAAAAAAAATTTTATGACGATGAATCGAATAATTACGTGAATGATTGTAAGTTTCAAATTCTATTACAGCAAATTACAAAATATAATATGATAAAACGTAAAGTAGCAAATTGAAAATGAGTAACAAAACTAATTTACTAATATAATTATATACTATATATAAGTATATAATTATAAAAATAAGTCGTAAATCGTTGAAAAAATTAATTTTCTATAAAATATAGGTAATATTTCCAAGAAATATAAATCAAATCAACATCCCCCATCAAATTATAAAATACACGAAGGGATTGGAGCTACATCTACAAATGTTGAACTTGAGAAAAATTCATTACATTTTAGATCAGTGAGTTCGGAATATAACGTGCAGAAGCGGGTGAGTACTACAAATATTAATGATTAATATATAGAGAAAAATAGCGCTAATTAGGACGTGCTTTTATTCAGACATCGATTATTTTTTAATAATTTATAATTGGAATAATCGTAACTATTAATACATAGCTGCAAAATAGACATTTCACAGGCATTTCTATGTTGTTCAGTGAAACAAAATAGTAGCATTTGATAAAACCATTTATATATTTATTACAATACGTGGATAATTATTACTTAATTAATAGTATTTTATATTTTTATTTATTTATATGTAAATATAGATGAGAGTTGAATAAATTCGGACAAAAATCGTTATTTAATTTATAAATACATACATAAATATATATTTGTACACACACACGTATATGTTAGATTTACACACACATACAATTTGTATATTAATATACTTTGAATTCCAGGAGGAAGATAAAATTTTATCCGTCAAAAATAATCCATCTAATTGCAATGTCCCTTCACCTTTAAATGAACACCAATTTTCAATTCAAGTTTTTCATGAGGATGAGCAAGATGATGAAGAGATGACGGATGATACTAATTCTCGTGATTATGATCGGAACATCGATAATAAGGAAAATGAGATAATTGGTAATGACAAATTATATAGCGGTATACTTTTTGTCATGGCATATATTATATAAAGTTAGTTGAATAAGTAAATTCAATAATCTGTGAATCTATTTCTATTATTTTATTTAGCGATGAAGGCTCTCCCAATTACAGAAATGAATGTAGACGAGGATATACATGTAATTATAAGTAAGATACATTTTTCTTTCATATAGATGAATACTTTCTTTCATATAGATGAATACTAATTGATTGATCATACTAATGAATACTAAACAGTGAAAATAGTAAATCATTTCTAAAAATTTGTAAATTTTAGTAATGTATTGTTTTAGTATTGTTTTAGTATTGTCATCATATATAATATAGTTATTATTATATTTCCAAAATACTTTTATCGTATATTGTAGTGTACAAAGTTATTAATAACATTAAAAAATTAGTCTCTGAAGATGCTTACAGTAAAATATGAATGATGAAATATAAATAGTTCTTCTTGCAGGTTCTTTATATGAAAAAGTAGATACTTTACATCAAGACTTTCAACAATTCAAAACAGAGATAAAACACGAAGCAGCTAAAAATAACACAAAATTGAAAGAAATAGTTGCTATTTTAAGAGAAAGTTTCCAAAGAAATGAAGAAAATGAAGCAATAACTATGGATTTAATGCCTGAATTTCCAATGACATCCGTCGAGGAATATGTACAATTTAATGAAACATTGAAAAATGATGAAGCAATTCGTAAATGTTTTGTAAGTATATTTTGAATAATGTGCAATTCAATCAGTGATTCATTGACTGATATGAAGAAAGTATTTATATTCATATGTGTGTGTGATATATATATGATATATATATATATATATCACACACACATATGAATATAAATACTTTCTTCATATCAGTCAATGAATCACTGATTGAATTGCACATTATATATATATATATATATGTGTGTGTGTGTCTGTGTGTGTGTGTGTGTGTGTGTGTGTGTGTGTGTGTGTGTGTGTGTGTGTGTGTGTGTGTGTATACAGAGTATTTGTTAACTAAAGGATCATATTCAATGGAGGCATAGAGCTGATTAAGATAAACAAAAGTCAAATATCTTTTTGCAAAAATCATAAAAATTACTGAGTAATGCATGAATAAAAATCGTGCATCGCAGCGGTAGTAAGAGGTGCGTTTGGTCGCTGAAGCTCGCATATCGAATCAAGTCGTCTAGCAATAGTTATCGGCGCGCGGCAAGAAGAAGAAAGGATTATTTCTGCACATTTTCCCTTCTGCTTGTCATGTGCCGGTAAGTATCGTTAGATGATTTGACTCGATCTGCGAGCTGCAGAGACCGAACGTGAGTTCTACAACCAATTTTTGTTCATGCATAAATCGGCTATTTTTATAATTTTTACTACATGATATTTGACTTTCTTGTTTATCTTAATCAGTTCTATGCCTCCATTGAATATGATCCCTAAACAAACACTCTATATATTCATACATATGTGTATGTGTACAAATACTTTCTTCGTATCCATCAATATATAATTTATGCCCGATTGAAAACATTGTCGCATATGTGA